TTGGACTGGTGTATGGTCTGAAATTTTTTGATCTGTAGAGTTAATTGTTTTATAATAATTAAGTATTATGGTTGTTAAAACATTTAAGATTTAAATACAATTAAAAATACCTGTATCTGTAATTTTATTTTTTTACGTTCAATTAAAAAATAAAGAGGTATTACGGGAATTTTTGATCAGAAATAAACAACTAACAACAATTGTTTTTTTAACAGAGTTACATTAAATTTAGATTTCGAATGAAGTTGTTTTGCAATTAATTACGCTTATTGCAGCATTAATTAGTTGTACTTATTTTATATTTTATTTTAATGAAGGAAATTAATGCTTTTTCACTTTCATTCGTCGTATTACGGAATAAGAAAAAATTGGACAAATTAGTTTCCATCAATTAACATTAAGATTAAATAACACCTAAATAACGTTACTACGCTTGTAAAGCTTAGGTTAGGCACATATATCTACAAATATATACAGTTGCTTAAAAATTAAATCTAATTGGAAAAAATACATAACGCCTTTTAAGGGTTATAGGATTTAACAAATGAGAATCAATTCAATATTCTTAATAAATAAACAAATAAAACTAAATCTTTTTATGTCATGATGCGGCTAATTAAAATTTGAGTAATTCGATTAGTATCGATTATCAGTGCAATTCGAAATTAATTACAGAATGTTTTAAATAGACCTAAAACTAATTTTGTACTTAGAATTAAGAAAATGAAGACAAAAAATCGCATCAATTTTTTATAAAAGTTATGTGGGAATTTCTATTACTCTTTTATCAAATTAATATTATGGAACAATAGTTTAGGAGTTTGCCACCCACCCAAGACAAACGACTTAAATTTTGTAAAGGATTACTCGGAATCCTTGACTAGACATTTTCGATTTATTACCCAATGCTTCTCAGAGTTGTTTTTTGTTGGTTGTTTTAGAGTAGTATTACTGCAGCAGCTTTTATGTCTGGCACAAATTTGATCACAGATCGTCCATAAGAAAGATAACTAATTAAACAGATTGCATTTGATAATTTAACAGAATTTCAACTTCTGCAGTAAATGTACAATGTTGAACAGAGAGGTAATAGCTGGTAATATTTGTGATCAATATAGGTACAGCAGGAACGTTAAATTTGTTGAATATATGATTTTAGAAAAACATAAATGTCGTTACACTTATCGTTAGAAGAATGTTACCAAGCAATGGTACACGATTTACTTACACTTATAACAATTTTTATTTCTCCATCTAATATTTGTTACTGTTACGTATACTATAATAATTGTAATTGAAAATAAAAATGTTACGAAAGGTCGATTAAAAGAAAATTGTTGATTTTTTGGATTAACGAACAGTAAAAAAAAGTATGACATTTTTTAATTATTAATGGTGGTTACTATGAAATGTTAATGTGAAAATTCATTTTCATTTTTCAATCCACTACAAATTACCTCAAGTTAATGAGGGAAATATTTTGTTGCTGTTGTGACAACAAATGGAACACATTCAATAAACATTAATAGTAAAAACAAGGGTTAGAGGCAGAAATAGGTGTAAAGAGAGGCAAAGAAAGGACTAGATTAGAATACTGTTCGCAAATATGTAGTTCCAATTTTCTGGAAATGCAAAAATTGAATCAGGAGTAGGGTTGTAACGTATATCTGGCTCCTTATCAGCAATTACGAATTACTAACAACTTTATATTTTATGTTCTCTAGAATTACCACGTACAAACCATAAGTTTGAAAAGTTTTCTATGTACCTACAGGGTAGATCAATTTATTTGCATGGATCTAGATTAGAGATAATAAAATTAGTCACGAGCTCAAACATTCTTCGATATAGAATTGTTTTTTAATTTTCGATTATTTTTCATCTCCCTTGTTCTCAGGGAACTTTTTGGAGTAAAATACAGTAAATACAGTAAATTTTGACTTTAAAATTTTTTCGTTCTAATTAAACAGAATCAGTGTTATATTTTAAANTATAAGTCATCATATCAACAAAAGACATGACAAAAAGAAAAGAATCAAACCAACAGTTCACCATTTGATACCCGCAAACATTTTCATTGAACATTTGTTCAACATTTGAACGTTGACGTTCAATTCAATTCATTATCAGTTATAGATCAAAGGGACAATTATTTATTTACTAATTTTTTATGATTGAATAATTAAAAATTAATGAGTTTTTTGACTTCGAAGTTGCCCATTTATTCTATTTATTACTTTATGTAGCTGCGAGTTTAGTTTGAAATGTTATCCAATCATGTCCTTGATGCTGGCATAACAAAGTGGCCATTTTTAAATGGCTCTTTAGGGGCTGATTTGGGGTTAAGGTTAATAATTAGGGGTTTATAATTTGTAATTATTGATTTTTTACCATTCGCAAATAAATTGTATATTTGAAGAGCTGAATCGTTTAAACCACGCCCTAACAAAGAACTCATCTTAGAACTTACAAAAGGGCTAGTGGGCTAAATTGTAAATATCGCTTTAATATTTAGATCAATTTTCCATGGATCCTGTAAAATATCCTTGTTAAATTTAGAAACCGTTCAGTTAAGTACACAGAAAAAGAAATTAATTACAGTTAAAGAAACTGTTTCACAATGCACTTCGTTATAAGACAGACACCCTGAATATTTACTGATGATATTGTTTCAGCTTTGTGCAACTTTGGTGCATCGAAACCCACAAAAATCGAGGATTATTTATCTTTATATTAGAGGGAGAAATAATATCGAATTTGTACTTTCTGTACGAATTTTTTAAAGTAAACACAATAAATTGCATACTATTTTACAGATGTGCTTTGGACGTACTTTGGTTTTTATAATAATTATTGTAGTAGATATTATTATAAATATAAAGCTTTAACATTCTGACACTGAATGTCCAGTGGAAGTACAATAAGTTTTTGGCATAACGGTTTAATTCCTATTTCTTCTTTTTTTCTTCTTTATTCTTTTAAGACTAAATAACTTTTCAGTCACAAAAATAGTTATAACACACTTATATAAATAAGTAGCAATCTTTGTAATCTATGTAATCCAGTCGAAGTAGCGAAAAATGTTCAGTTTAAAAAAAAATCAGGACCACCTTCTCTACGTGATAATTATTAGAAAAATTGTAAAAATTTGTTGTGTGTGTTTTGAAATGTGGGAACATAACGAAATAATCGTGTAAAGATGCTAAAAAGTGGGAGTTTTGCGGTTTGAGTATTAAAAATAAAAAAAATAATAAAAAAAGTAATTCATAACTTTTTGCGAAATACATTAAAAACCCACTTTTTTTGCACATTTGCTGTTCTTAAGTATTGTTTTTTTTTCAAAATATATACATCAAATTCCTACTTTTTTTTCATAACTATTACGCCGAGAAAGTGTGCGAAATTTTTTTTATGAATCTATTTCGACTGGACTAACGCACGTTCACTTTTATTACAAACACAGTTTTTACGCTTAAGTCTTGTGCATGGAATATAAACAAATGCAGTGTTTTTATGGCTTCGATAAGTTTGGATTTTAATTTTGCAACTAATCCCTTACTATGCATTCACAAGGTGATGTAACGTTTTTCATTGGACAAATTGAATTCTTTACCATTTAGCCTTAGATTCTTTTCTTTTTTAATCATGCTTTCAAAGAAAGACATGAAACCCCTTCGATTATATTATTTATCGGCGCTCACTTAAAACTCTAGGACTACAATTAATATATGATTTTATTAGAATGGGTTTTTGTATGACACTTTTGGTTAAAACTTATTATTATTGTGGCAGCCTTTTTACTTGGCCTAACTTATTATTGATTGTTAAAACAAAGTGTTCCGAGCAACAACCAATTAGAAGCTTCGGAATGCTTTAAAAGCAATATTTGTGATCAATATAGGTACAGCAGGAACGTTAAATTTGTTGAATATATGATTTTAGAAAAACAAATGTCGTTACACTTATCGTTAGAAGAATGTTACCAAGCAATGGTACACGATTTACTTACATTTATAACAATTTTTATTTCTCCATCTAATATTTGTTACTGTTACGTATACTATAATAATTGTAATTGAAAATAAAAATGTTACGAAAGGTCGATTAAAAGAAAATTGTTGATTTTTTGGATTAACGAACAGTAAAAAAAAGTATGACATTTTTTAATTATTAATGGTGGTTACTATGAAATGTTAATGTGAAAATTCATTTTCATTTTTCAATCCACTACAAATTACCTCAAGTTAATGAGGNAACATTATCTAATCAACAATTTTTTTGTCCTTTTTTAACCGCATTAAAAAATTTATAAACTATTGTATAAAAAACCCAGTTGAGTCCTCCCAGTCGTCAATACTTGGACCGAAAGAATCGTTAAAAAACTGGTCGATTTGCTTGTACATATGTATGAGCGATTTCTTACTGAAATCGTGATCTTCATCGGGATAAATCTATAATAATATAATAAAAATAATAATTTGCTTACTTACCTCCTTACCTAACACAAAGAATCAACTTCTAATCAATAATCGTTCTCCTTTTTAATTTATTGCTACAGAAATCAAATCTTATACGTTATAGGCGAAATGTATGTGTTGTTGTGATATTAAAATGTTGTTTGGTCCCCTTCGATTTCCATAATAAAACTCAAACAACTATTTAAAAATCATCATGACCAGAAGCAAACTAATTTTTGTGTTTGCGGTTGTGATTGGATTTCGTAATTGGTTTCGATTTCTGTTTGTTTGGTAGCCTGTCAATTTGTATGTCACACAGAAACAAAGTTAGGAAATATGTTGTACTAGGTCGTATAGGCATTTGTTCCTTTAAATGTAGGGTTTATAAAAAAGGTTATTTTACACACTGTTTTTTAGTTAAAAGCAATTTCGGCTAAAAGTTCTTATTTTTAAGACTAAATTGCTTCTCAGTATTTGGTAGATTAGTGCTTCTGATTCTTCAGATCAAATGACACCAAATCGACTAAAACAATGAACCCTTTGATGCGTAATTGATAGTTAAATATTTACATAAATGGGACGTTAAAAGAACAGACCTGTTCATGACTTGAAAAGATGGACAATTCGACCGAAGGAGTTCTCAAATCAAACCAGTAAATTATAAGTCATCATATCAACAAAAGACATGACAAAAAGAAAAGAATCAAACCAACAGTTCACCATTTGATACCCGCAAACATTTTCATTGAACATTTGTTCAACATTTGAACGTTGACGTTCAATTCAATTCATTATCAGTTATAGATCAAAGGGACAATTATTTATTTACTAATTTTTTATGATTGAATAATTAAAAATTAATGAGTTTTTTGACTTCGAAGTTGCCCATTTATTCTATTTATTACTTTATGTAGCTGCGAGTTTAGTTTGAAATGTTATCCAATCATGTCCTTGATGCTGGCATAACAAAGTGGCCATTTTTAAATGGCTCTTTAGGGGCTGATTTGGGGTTAAGGTTAATAATTAGGGGTTTATAATTTGTAATTATTGATTTTTTACCATTCGCAAATAAATTGTATATTTGAAGAGCTGAATCGTTTAAACCACGCCCTAACAAAGAACTCATCTTAGAAGCTACATTTAGCTCCATCCGTCACCAATTTGCAAAATGCATCAGTTGTTTGAAAAAAATTTTGCTATAGTGACGGCTTATTTTTGAGAAACAATTATTATAAAAAATTTTGTACTATTATTTTAAATGGATTTTAAGAAAAAGTTAATTTTCTTTCAGCAAGAATTGCTTCTGGGATTGCGCGAAATTTAGGGTTTTAGTTGTTCATTTATATAGTTGGGTTTCACAGAACTCCATTTGATTTCTTTTACATTCTCTAAGTTGATAAGTAATTAGACAGGTACTTACCAATTGTCGGAACAAAATTCCATGTTCGATGAGGGATTTCGTAAACAAAATGGAATGTTGATTTTTCACAGTTGTATCTGCTGTACCGTGGATTAGCATAAAATTTCTGTCGAGCAAGTTCGCTGATCTTCTTGCCAAGTCAACTTTTTCGTATTCTAACAATTTTTCCGATGGTAATCCCATGTAACGTTCCGTGAAGTACGAATCTGAAATAAGGACATTAACATAAAAGATCAGGGAAAGCGTATTTATTATTTTACACCACTACACATACACGTATAGTATAGTAGTAGTTGATGGAGCAAAGGTCAGACGCGCCCTTGTATACCCCCAAATTTATATGTCTTGAATACAGTGCATTAAAGAAAATTCCACAATCTTATTTTACCTCAGATTCTTCACGGTTAAATATGGACAAAGATTAACGTTATATATTTGAGATATATTTCTATTTATCAAAAATTCAGTCTGTTATGTTCATAAATTCGAAATATGAGAAAAAGCGAGAAAGAAACCTAGGAATGTGTTGACAAAGCTCTTTCATATCACATACTCGATCCTTTTCTAACATATGAGACCTTTTGGAAAGTTCTAAAAATTTCTGAAATGATCGAGAAAACTGCAGAATGTGTGCAACTGTTACAATCGATCTAGAATGTTCTAGAAAATTCTAAAAATTTCTCGAAAGTTCCAAATTGTGTGGAACTGTCAAAATCGATATGGAATGTTCCAGAAAGTTCTAGAAATATCTGGAATGATCTGGAAAGTTCCAAATTGTGTACAACTGTTAAAATCGATATGGAATGTTCCAGAAAGTTCTAGAAATATCTGTAATGATCTGGAAAGTTCCAAATGTCCGCAATTAATTTAACCCGAGCAACGCCGGGTTTCGCTGCTAGTTATTTTATAATAGACATTGTATCAATATTCAATATTACTACTAAATATGTAATCAGATTACTTTTAGTCTCCTTCCCGTACTCCTATGCGATCATCTCGAGAAACCTAATAATTTCACGTAAAATACAGTAAAAAAATTAAAACTTTTTTTTTGAATTGAAACACAAATACATTGTAACATACAAATCCCACCCCCCATTCTTCCGCCACCTATAACACTTTACGACGTTTTACAAGAACCTTTTACCCCCACCTTCCCCTAAACTAACCATGAAGTCTAGCATTCTGGATTTGCACCGCAGTGTGTTGTCTGCGATTTCGCTTTACATCTGCAAAACGACCGGCTTGAACTACACCAAAGAACCAAACAGAACTGTTCAATTCTTCTAATTTAAGCCGTCAATTTAAATCGGATGAATCCTGTAGATGTTCACCGTCATCAAAGACGAAACATTGACAACAGATAAAATCATAAAGTCCTGAACATTACTGTAACTAACCGCACCCCAATTCTAAGTAATGTTTACGTTATAATTAGTCTTCTACGTAACAATCAGTTTCGTTATACAAGGTTTAGACTGTGTATGTAAAACTTATTCCCCCTTTCATAAAAATATCGTTTACTCTTTGAAATTGGAAGGGCGACAATATATGCTACCTCTGACGTTCCTGCGTTAAACGTTACACGGTTTGCAAGACATGCTTTAATTAAAGGCAAATTGCTAACAAACAAGCAGAGGTGTGCAAAGTCTACAAAGTAATTGTAAACAACATTGAGTAATTAAAAGGTATATATATATAGGTAGCAGTAATATTACGGAACACGTACATAATAACATGGTGGATGCGCCAGGCAGGTGTTAAAAAATTATCTTCATGCATTTCCGTAGTTTCCTGAACACTCGCTGGTTATTATCTTTTCATCATTATAATCATTATCATCATAAGGTCGTCAGTCCTAAGAAAGGTTGAGCACGCACCTCTACTCGTTCAGATCCCAAACTAATTTCCCTTAAACTGAAACATCCCACGTCCTTAACTATTTGTGAACAGCAATCTAAACTAGGTTTGCCTCTGCTTCTCTTAACTCCCGTTTCTGCTTCTAATATGTCTAACTAACCTTTCATACCTGACAAGGTGTCTTAGCAACCTATCTCGCCTATTTCTTCCATTGCGCCCTCTGTTCTCCTACTGTTTCTAGTACCTTCTCATTTTTAACCTNATGAGACGTCCCATTTTTCTGATATTGATTGGGAACCCGGAATAGAATCGCTGTAAAAAAAACGTTAATCGAAATAACGTTGTTTCCCCCGAGGATTTGGCAGATTGATGCGAAAAGGAGAGGACGAAAAACTAATTATATACTTACACCTTTTTAAATAAAAAGGAACGTGTAGAAGAGGGAGTTGAGTTCAAATTTTGGGGTTCTTGTTGTCTGAAGTTTTCTTTTCTTTTCGGGAGGTGTAGGAAGTTTAGCGCATTAAAACATTTCACGATTTAAAAATTTTTAAATCTCTTAAAATAATGATCATGGAAGTAATAAAAAAAAAACAGTTTCAACCCTTCGTCTTTCAATACATCAATTTGGTACCGCAAAAATAATATTATTTTGTCCGAAAATAACATCTTTTCGGAAGTTAGGTAAGATGGTACAGGGCTGACGCTGGAAGCTGGCGGAAATTTTAAAATGGCGTGGATGCGCGGTGGCAAAAGTAGGCAGTTTTAGGTATAAAGATTGCAGCCCTCTTTCTTCAGTATTCCTATCAGGGGCGTAGATTAAATATTTAAAAATAGGTATCAGTGAGCAAGTAATAGACAGACAAACAGAAGAACTAATTGTTGATGTTGGTGACAGTGATAGAGATTCCCATGATGACAGTGAATGTGAAAACTAACTATAAAACGAAAGCAATAGGTTTATTTTTTCTTTTTGGTAAGTCATGTTTTTACATTATTTTCTAGTACGCTACTGTCCTATCTGTATTAATACTATGATTTACTCTCACTGAAAGCTTATTTGTGTATCGGTTCCAAGTGACTTACCCAAATAGGTCATAAATGGGCAAGTACCTGCGCGACAGCTCGCCAGCTTCCTTCATCAGACCTATACAATTTTTGTTTAGCATAAAATTTTCTATAGATTAGTTCGGAAAGGCATACTCATACGTAAAACAATAGCGCAGTATAAAGTGACGCTCGAATCAGTCGTATTCACGTCCAATCAAATTAAGAGTGGTAAATACAAACAGGATGTAGGCAGGAATGGCCTTCATCTCCCCTACAACTGAGAGGAACAAATTATCAGTTTCGGCAGGAAAAAGGCCAGGACTCTTCTGAAAATCCTCACACGTCACGGACAAAAGCGCCACTACAGGAATAAATTGGGACTAACCACCTGTTCTTCCTGTCGTTTTTGTGACGAGGAGGTGGAAACTGCTATCCACATCCTCTTTCATTGTTCTGCGCTGAATGTAGGCGTCTTACTTTTAGTTACCATGTGACGCTCGACGGATATCTTCTTTTTGAAAAGTTTCCTTTGAAGCGAAAGCGGAAAAGGTAACTAAAAGGGATACATGGGAACACCCGTGTTTTCAGAGGTCTGAACTAGCCCAAACACGAAATAATAATGAATTAAGAAGTTTTTCATTACGGTTGTATTGAATATCTGCATTTGCATCCGCAACTGCGGAACATCTGCAGGAATGTTAATATCCGCAGCTTTGTTCGCATCGGCAAAGTGAAACTGTAAAATACGCATCCTTATTCGTACATACTTATAGTTATAAGGATATTTAGCGGATATTTGCTGTGCTACATCATGTTATAAAAATAAAAGGATTAAATTATACTAACTACTTTACTAAGTATTTTCAGAAAAAAAAAAACGAAATATTCGTCTATTAGGTTTGTAACCAGAGGTCTTGTTAACTTGACAAGACTGAGCGATTCTAAACAAATGTTCGAGCACTAGAGAATTCAGATCCAAGTTGTGATCCCATGGATCTATATTTTATTATTATTCACACCCTATGTAATAATTATTATTTATTGTTTCGAATTTTCAATTTTAACTATATGGAGAACAAATAACCTATAACGATTAGGGAATCAAAACAAAAACGCAGCGTTTAGGAAACCAAAATGACTAAGCCAATCCAGGTTATATTTGAAAATGGTTAATATTTTGCATTGTTTTGAATAGCGTTGACTAATACTGCCAGGATCATTTATATTTCTCAAAGAATTTAGTCTGTAAGATATGCACATTGAGAGATTTATTGCAGAATTCAAGAGTATTTTCTACAATAAAATCTGCCTAAAATGGAGTGAAATATTGATAGTTTTTGTAGTTATTTCCTCTACTTATTCTTATGTAAGTATTTTGTCTTAAAAAGAAATAGGCACAATTAAAAAAGTACTTACAGAATCAAGATCATAGGGAACGCTACTTCCTCGTAGTCCCGTAAAATGGCTGGAAGGAGCATCCTAACTTGAGCTTTGAATCCCTCTTCAACTTCAACTTGGAACTTTTTGATTTGTGGAGGAGCCAATCCATTAATTTTCTTCCTTAATTTTTCTGCTGAATCTAGAACTGCTATTCGCGTGTTGGTGAACGTTTCCACCAAAAATAGAACCGGAATTTCTGGTCCCAAACACTCTTGGACGTAATATCGGTACGATTGGCTAAATATCACATTGTTGTAACTGCACACGTAATCTACCAGCATTGAGCTATTAAACGTTGTCTCGTTGTCGTATTCCATGTCCATCGACAGATTAAAGTTTACGTTAGCGTGACATGTCATACATGTCCACGGTTGTGACGAATTAGTGTCGCCAATTTTGAACAAATGTCTCACACCTGGACTGTTCTCATTCGTGGCAATTGCGTAGCTGAAAGAGAAAGATCGAATTCCAACTAACATCATCATCATCATCATCATCATAAGGTCGCCAGTCCTAAGACTGGTTGGACACGCACCTCCACTCTTTCCTATCCTGAGCTAAACTTCGAATTTCCTTAAAACTAGAATAACCCACAACCTTAACTATTTGCGAACAGTAATCTAACCTAGGTCTACCTCTACCCCTCCTAACTCTGCCTCTAATATGTGTCTGACTAGACCTTCATATCTGAGAAGGTGTCCTACCAACCTATCTCGCCTATTTTTTATTGACTTCCATAGAGTCCTCTGTTTTCCTATTCTTTCTAATACCTCTTCATTTCTAACCTTTTCTACCTACGTCATCCTCATCATTCGCCTATAACACCACATTTCGAAAGCTTTTAACCTTTTCTTTTCCGCCGCGCCCACTGTCCATGTTTCGCACCCGTACAACGCCGCGCTCCGCAACATTCATATTTAATTTTGTCTTTCTTTAAATTAACCGTTCGCGAACATAGAAGTGACTTCCTTTTATTAAAGGCGATACGACCCTGCGCTATCCTCTGCTTTATATCCCTACTACTCCTTCCGACCTGACTTATCTGACTTCCTAGGTATCTAAAATCAGCCACTCGTTCTAATTTTTCGTCTCCTATCTTTATATTCGCTCTTTCCTTACTTTTTCTTCCTTTGCATACCAGTATTTTAGTTTTACTTTTATTTATTTTCATACAGTACTGATCTGTCAGTACCGCTTCCATTTTATTTAAAGCTATCTCTAGGTCCTCCTTGCTAGATGCTAATACTGCTATATCATCTGCAAATGTAAGCATACTAATCTTTTGTCCCTGTATATCTATACCTACAGTTGTACTGTCTTTAGTAATGTTGAACGCGTCTTTGATATATACATTTAAGAGTATAAGCGTTTGACAGTGTACATCCTTGTTTGACTTCCTTCCTAATATTTACTTCCCTACGTTGCAGCCCTAGCTCTATAACATCCTGTTGCTCTTTATACAAACTAAGTATCATTCTTCTATCTTTGTAACTCATCCCTACATAGCATGTTCGATATATTGTTGAAACTCATAAAGAATTGCCCAAAAATTTTAAAGAATTTTATATATGCCCGAGTACGTACTATCCAAAATTGGCCATTATATGTAGATGCTATTGCAATTTCATAATTTTTATTACGATAACGATTTTTAGATCTTTAATTATGAAACCGAATCCAGAATTTCAAAATTCAGAATGATACATCTAATATGGTGGATATTTTGAAAAAAGTCATTCAATATTTTTTAAAGTCAGCAAACCATTTATAAGTCATCAAATCATATCAATAAAACACTTGACAAAAAGAAAATAATCATATCAATAGTTTGTCAATTGACACCTGCAGACAGTGTTATGCGATCGTATCAACTTTTGAACATTGATGTCTCATTCTGTTAATTTTTATCAGTTACACATTGCAAAGAGGATTGTTTTTCGATCGATTTGATACTATTTAACGTTAGATATGAATAGAAACTAATGAGTTCTTTAACGTTGGATTCTTCTATTCTATCTATCAGAAAATGAAGGTTGCAAGCGTTTGAAATGTGGTATTATAGGCGGTTGTTAAAAATACCGTGAATAGAAAAAGTTAGGAGTGAGAAGGCATGGATTAGAGAGAGTAGGAGAACAAAGAGTTTTATGGAAGTCAATAAGGAACAGGAGGGAGGGGATGGTAGGACACACATTGAAGCACGAAGAGTAGTTAGAGACATTTGTATTAGAAGCATGAAAAGGATTAAAGAGCAGCAGGGGTAGACATACGAGGGTGGATTGATAAGTTTCCGGCCTAACCAAGAGATGACGCCACTAGGCCTACCTTGAGGTGACATTCTATAGTACCATCCTTGGATAGCTTGTAGCTATAGTTTCAGCCCGATCTCCTTGCTAGTGTAGGTTTGACAGCACGCTGAACAAGACGCCTCTGTGGTTTTCGTAAAAATGGAAAAGCAGGAAAATCGT